TAGTTTTTCTTACTGTACTATTCACAAGATTTGCAATTGAAGTACACCCAACGGTATTTGGACTAATTAAATTATAAAACAAAGTGTTAAAATTTCCTAAGAGCCTTATTTAGCACGCCTTTCGCGAGTTTCAGATTAAATTAATTACGTACGAATTTCGCCAACCAACATTTTGTAAATATAATTTTTTTGTGATCGTAATTCAAGACATGCTAAATGAGATATTTTCTTAGTCTTTTCAACTTTTAATTTAAAGATTCTTTTGTCAAAATTTATTAATGAGTTTTTTTTGTACTCTAAATCTTATTTCGATGTTTGTGTAAAATACTTCCTTAACTAATGTCGTGTAGCAATTTGACGTAAATAATCATGATCCACTTTGATTTATATGAATGACTCGTCATCATCGTCGGCATAGTAAGTTAATCATGTTATAAGTGACATTAAAAATCATAGGCCTAACCCATGATTTTAACGACCGGCCGTCTGCCTGACGTCTACTCTCCTTAGAAAACAAACACCCAGATCTGGAACAATTATCTGTGGGTTAAATAAATACTTGTCCCATGTGTGATGAAACCACTGCCCCCGACGTCACTAGCCAAAAGCTTACCAACGGGGTCACCGAGTCATTCATGTAAATTTCATTTTTATTAAATTTTTTATTTTTAATTAAAACATACATTTTGCAAATGACTACATAATTATTATTAAATTTGCCTATAGAACAGTTTTCTTATTTAAGCTAGCAGATGGCTCAAGTGATAACGCAGCCCAAAAACTTTCATAAAATTTGATTTTGATGTGTTTCATAGATTTTACCACCACAAATACCGCAGTAGCATTGTCAAGCATAATGATCTCTCTTTCAACGATATTCAGGCGTAAAATTACTCGTATTTCTTTACAGCAGTCCTCTTTGAAGCTTTTATTCCCCATAGGCATACCCAACAGCATTTGACTTTGATGTTACTGGTAAAAACAAAAGTAAGGTAAAGTATTAAATAATAATAACAATCTTTGAAACAGACAAATAAGTGTAAAAATATTTTTTTCCAATACAACTTTAAAAAAACACAAAAAAAGTATTGTCAAAGATTTCAGTCAACTTTTTTACTAGGAGCTATAGAAAAAAGTTGGGCAATATTCCTTGTTTACGGTAGCATGGCGTTTATGTTCCTATATAAACATTGGTCTTGCCAAAGTACCTCGTAACCGCGAGAATATGTTTTAGGTAAATGTGTTTCAATTTTCTATATGACCTCTTTTTATTACTCTTTAAATTTGCTATATTTCGTTCTATTACGACTCTATGGAATACTTTGTAACTTCTATTCTTAAATTCTAAACTTTTAAAATTATTATTTTAAATGAATTTGATTAATTTTACTTAGGCCATCTCATTCAGTTCCCGTGTCATTTTAAGAGAATTTAGTACATAATCTTGTATAAATAATAAATTAAAACACCCAATTATTTTGTTTACTTAACTGAAGACTTTTGTTATGGACTTTTCCTTAAAGGACATCCAATTAGCGAAATAAAATTGGATAAAGTAATTGAAGAAGAAATATGACAAGGTGAAATGATATTTGTAAAAACTGTCCTATTATAAAAAATATTAATTAAGTCTGTTGAGAAACTTGTTGAGACTTCATCGAAATTAAGCATTGAAATTTCAACTATAAAATGATACCTCGTCTTTCTAAATTCTGAAGCAGTATATCTTATTTAATTATTTATCAGCGGAAAACTTCTTGGTTGGCTTTGAATTGAGATCTAATTCTAAGCAATACGTTACCAGTACGCTCATACAAATCTGTACCCTTGAACTGATGACATATTTTTGTTGCCGCTAAAACAACAAATACTATAAAAGAAAAAAAATATATGAGTATGGCTCACATACAACAAACATTATTTTTACGGTGGTAGGGCCACGCAGCAGCCTCGAGTGTTGCACGAATGGGTAGGCCCGTCCAGGTAAATACCACGACCTCACAGAAGACCAGCGTAAAGTGTAAGAATGACAAATACTTTCACGTTTCGTACGGTGAGTGAGGTGGCCGGAGCCCCATTTTCAAAAGGTTGTCAACGCATCTGTAACCCTCGGGTACAGCAGATGTCCATGGGCGGCGGTATTGACTTAACATCAGGTGACCCGTCTGCTGGTTTGGCAACTTTACGGTAGATGAATGGATTAGTCTTGTTAGGGGAAGTATCACGGCCTCATAGAGGTAAAGAAGTATAATACTTTTGCATTTCATTTAGTACACGAGTACACGAGTAACCCGAGGGACCTGTTTATAAAACTTAGCAACGCATCTGCACCACCACAGTCTTTGCAGATGTCCATGGTCGTCCATAATCGCATGATATCAAGTGAACTGCTTGCTTGCCAACTTTGGACATAAATAAATATCCGGTTTCCATGTCTTTCTATTCCCTTCCCACTGACATAACTAAGTATAGTTTATATAATTTTTTTTTAATAATTAGGAAAGATTCCTTATGCATCATAAATAGCAAGAACTCTACACACTTTCGTGGTGAACAGTATTGTGTTTAATTTAAGACTTTATGCAAATACTTATTTATATAATAAGCATTTCCCTAGAGTCTTAAAAGCCAGATATTCGGCGCTATTGTGTTATTTATTCCCAGAATTTGTATGAAAATGTTTTAAGTATCTAATACAAAGGTGTCTTAATGCTTTCCCTACACATTTTTCGACATAATTACAAAATGACACAACCGTATGCGACACAATAGAGAAATGGGAGCATTGTTCTCCGCAACACAATGTACCATAATTACGTAATAAATTATTTAAGAATATCTAGAGATGTTGTTCAAGTCGATATATTAAGCGACAATACAAGGTTTATATATAAAAATTATACACTTATAATAATCACAATGAAGATTTTAAAAAAGTATTGTCTATCATTATGCAGCCTTTTCAACATTTCTTCATTAAAAACTTGAAGAGCTATTGTGTAGATCGGTAGCTATTAATTAGTTTTCTGAGGCTAATTAAAAAGAAAGTTGACAACATAAATTTAAGTATAAATTTCTAAACATAATATAAACCTGAAAATGAATCGAATGACGAGCTATGTACTTTCTAGAAATTATATTTTCTTTTTTCCACATGTTTTTCGTTACAATATGATTGATTTATCAGAAACAATACATAGAAACAAATCTTAACCTATGGCAAAATCCATTAGGCCGCCTTTCCAATTTATTAGTTGTTATGTCGTTGGTTTAATCCCCATACCATTCTTTATAGATTATTGTTCTGAGTCCACGTTTACTTTTTGTGATGTGCTTTTGTAAGTTATTTCATATACAGAAAATTATAATGAACTGCTTTTAATAGAATAAATTACCGGTAGACAAGCAGCTTATCCAATTAGTAGCGAATTACTAACGCTTGATAGGATTGACTATTTATTTTTAATATCCAAGGCAGGAACTGCTAATTCTGTGCCTTTTATTAAGCAGAATCTGAAGCTAATCGATGATGCTTTATTTTCTGAAGCTTAAGGTAACAACCGTAGTAACATATCACACAAGAACTAAACATACAATCGAATGATTTCAATTCAAGAACTCTCTGATGATTGAAGTATAGTCTATCATCAACATCATATTAAGTCAACGATCCGGTTAATTATAGCAGTCCAAATAATTAACCATTTCATACATTTTTTTTTACGTGGGAAAAATCCTTTATGGATCCCCCGTCGCCTTGTGGGTAGGCAGGGGTATGTGGCAGTTACACAGTACCCACTAAAAAACCTACGTTGCACCTGCGCTGTCGCTTTGCCAGGGACACGGGCACACGAAAACGCAATCTTCCGCGAACCCCGGCGCGACTGTGGCCTTCTCAGGCCTCCTATCCCCGGGTGTTAGGGACATCCGATCCAGCCTAATGGTGCCATGTCGGTGCAATGTACACGGCACCCCTCTCAAGCCCTCCGCGTGGCAACAGTTAGTCCCACATCTGCCACCTCGGGGCTTGCTATCAGGGGGGAAGGTTGCGCGCGTAGGCCAGCCTCCTGGTCTCCGGCGGCGGATTTCCAGGGTGGCAGTTGCCTCCCTTTTCCTCTCCGCGGCCTCCTTCCGGGTGATTATGTCCTCAGAAAAAGCAAGGACGACCCACGACCTCTCGCTGTCCACCATAGCGCGAACCACGGCAGGCAAGAAATCGTGCCCCACCATAGCCCGAACCACGGCAGGCAAGAGATCGTGCCCCACCATAGCTCTCAGCTCTCTTCGTTGCTCCCGCCAGGCTGTGCACTCCTCCAGTGCGTGTTGGGCCGTCTCCTCGGCACATACGTCGCAGTGGTGGCAAACCGCTATTGGCTCCTTTCCGCCAAGCGGCACAGGTACCCGTGGTTTGGTCACCCACGGCTAAGCTAAGAAGAGCTCGCACTGGGAGCAAAACAGTTTCCTTCCGGAGAGGGAAGTCGAAAGTCAATAGTAAAAAAATCCATTCAAATAATTTGGAAACTAATTTTTATTACATATTTTTTAGTTGATAATACTATTATAACGTCAAATTGAAATAAGCTTCTCTTTACTTTCACAATTCATATCAAACAATTGTTATGCTATTTGAAATAAATAAGTTATCCTTTGAAATTGTTAACTTATAAAAATATCGCAAATTCTAGTTCAATATTCAATTTTATAAACAACATAACATATAAAGAAGTTTTATAAAATATCATGTGAAAAAGCTGATATATATGCGTTAATTATTTAATTTCCGTAGTCAAGTGAACGCTGACAAAGGATTTAGATTCTTTAAATTTTTAATACTTTATCGCATATAACATATATATAAATGCAGATGCCATTGGCATAGTTGATACAACTTTGTTATCCAACGAAAATGCTTAACACATAAAACTTTACTGAAAGAAAGAGATCCGCAATCTATAATAACCTCTTGAAACTTCATAAGAAGAAAATTTTGGAATCACTTAGTCATTCCATTGGCTCAAAAAGGCTCCCAACGACGTGATACTGAAATGGACCAATTCTACGCTCAGAAACTATTGTTGCGAACACTAAAATAGTATATATTTTCAATCCATTGCAACAATATTTTTCTCCACCGTTTCCATTTTACGTAAAGTCTGAATGGCGTTTCGGAAGAAAATTTACAAAACGTACACTGATATTCTTGCTGTATAACGGACCCCTCTAGATTTTTTCTTTGAAAAATATTATAGCTTTTAGGTAGATAATCAATTTTAACAATAGGTATACATACATTTTAATACGATTCAACACCACATGGGTAACAAACCCATGCACTTTTCTCATGCACACACACTTTCTTCGCATGTAGATTTGATAATGCCTCTACTCAACATTTGTATACCTAGTACTTAAATTATTTTTATTAACTCTGTCAATTTCCATAAAAAAGTAGAAGATCCTCCTCGCCAGTGAGTTATCTCTAGTAAATAAATATGGAACATCGTAAAACCCATATAATTAATAATTTACTTTATAATTTGAAAATACTGTACATTTTTAATATCACATAAAATATGAATGAATGAATACTTTTATTGTCCACCACACATAAAAGGATACACAAAACTAACAATAGACAAACAGATTAATGGAATGCACAGTTTAGTGGCCTTATCGCTTCATAGCGATCTCTTCCAGGCAACCAATAGCGTAAAGGAACGTTTACTACGTAAGTGGTGCAATAGTAACATACATAATATACAGCGTGTCGTTACCATCGCGACAATAAATGAACACACGTCTAGCGCTACTTGCCAATAATCATAAAAAAATATTAACGTTAAACAAAATCCATAATTAAAAAAAAATATTTTTCAAACAAACTAATTAAGTAAAAAAGAAACAAAATTTGTAACATCCTATACAACTCGCGCCACAGCGTCGTATTACAAGCCTCTCCTTCTAACGGTATGTTTTGTCTCTTTTAAATTCATTCAACCCATTCATATGCTTTGTGACCTTTACAAATGAACTTTACGTTACGCTTTTATGTTCTAAAATTCTTTGTTTTGGAAAATTTAATAACTCTGTAAATATTGGTGTTTAAAGAATTTAAATGTTTAATACAACTTTAAAAAGTTATCCCCTATATGTGTGTTTATTTATGGTAACGACACGCTGTATAACTAAATAACCGGACTAACAATGACACTCAGACGTCGAAAGCCTCAGTCTGTCCCGTGACCATGAACGCTGTAAAGGGTTCGAAGCGCCGGAATATAAAACTAAAAATAAACGCGATGAATACGTAAACATAGTTGCATTCAGTCGTATTTTCCAAATTTCTTTTTATTAAGACTTTCACAAAAAAGAATGTAGGTAATGATTTGATTTTTCTTTTAAACCATTTGAAAGTTATTTGGAAGAAATAATTAACGAGACAAATTATTATAAGTATTTTATTTTACCACCCTTCCAATCTAATAAGAATTATGAAAATTAGCTTAATACTTCATCAATTAATGGTTTACAGTTTGTTACAAGTTTCTGGTTAATTTCATCTAAATTTTTTAAACGTCATAACACAAAACGTTAGCGTTTAAGTTAGCGTTTATCACAGATATTGAACACGCTACAGTTTCATACCTTTTATTTTTTAATAAACCTTTTAGAAATGTTAAAAAAATAATTCACGTAATGACCTAATTTTTTTCAGAATACATAATGAAAATAATTCTCATGCAATAACTTATTGTATTTATTACATTAATTGCTATTCCTCTTATTAAGTATATATGATGATACTGCCGAAATTAGTTTAAATAACGTTAATACAGATATCTAAATAAGTTCATGGCAACAGTAAAAAAAAAATCACATTTGCTTTGTAATAATTAAAAGCTGATAGATTAAAATACTTAACAAAATACGAGGTAGATTATTAACTCATATATATCTCTCGTATAAATATTTACCTCATTTGTGAAGTATTATTTTGACGTCTAAAATTGCAACGATAACTATTGTAACCATACTAAAACAAATACTAAGATAATGATAGGGGGACCAATTAACTAACAATTGCTTTGTCATTCCGTCTCTCTAGATAGATTAGCTCTTCAATTTATTTAAATTGATTATGATAAGCAAATAGGATACTCGTAACAGATCGAAAAACATTGTCAAATACTTGTAACTATGTCTCTTTTTCAGTTTCAGTTTTATGTCATTTAAACAACATACAATCCATTTAAAACTTACTTCAGCCATTGTTAAAAATGTTAAATGAGATTCGAATTTTAAATAATCTTATAAAACAGCTGTTATAAAACTAGATTAGAAAAATGTCAGTTTCTTAATTAATGTTTATATCATAACTTTAATTAATCCTTATTTCCAAAAATCTTTTTTAACAATAATATGAATATTTGGTTAAAAATATATTATCTGTGCTTTAAAAAATTGCTCATATAAGACATAAACTTATTCGAAAACTCTGAAGTGAGGCGACAGCGCAGAACAAAGTATGCTAGCAATCTATGAAGTATAATAAATACGAAGAGACCGACAACTTGCATGTAATACGTGTCATTATCCATTCCTACGTCACGTAGCAAAAGTTTTGGATTAGAGTATAAACAAAAATCCTGACTGCACTCCATTTGCGATCGCTTTTGATACAATGCAATGGACAATCCCGCTAATCCATAACGCAAATAAGATATGGACATTAAGATTTTCATTCTGTCTTCTATGTATGGTCCGAAACCCATCCCGTAGCAACACAACACTAGCAGCGGTGATACCATGGCTGGACCTATGATTGAGCCATTCTGAAAATTGAGAAAAGATTATGTTTCTACAAAAAAAAAATACCAAATATTCCAAGATTCCTGTTCTGTAATATAACAGAGATTGAGAATTTCAAGAACAAATTAAGTAAAAAATAATATCGTTATATAAAATCAAGTCTGGCAAAAATCACTAAGGAATAATAAGGGAACAACATTGTTTACCATGTTATAATTACTGTTGCAAAAATTATATTAACACTCCAAAAACTCGCATTAATATCATTTATTCCAACGTTTGAGATACCGTCATGGCCCGAACACAACCGTACGTTGTACATGTATTATATTATTATGTATTGTATGCTTTACGTAAGCTTTCACGATGAACTTACGGTAGAATTGAATGCAGAGCCCACAACTAGTCCGAGACCCTCGGAGCATACGCCAATTAATATTCCGCAAATCACAAACAAAGCGAAACGATCCCATTCGAGTATTTGACCCGACATCAAATACACAATGGCCAGGAACACTAAACCAAACATTATCTGCAAGGTAAAAGATAATTCTTTTGTCAGTATCCATTGAAACATGGCAACTGATCACATAAAACAATGAACATATTTGACCTCAATTGACATTAATATTTAAAGACTAAATGCAACAGAATATGCAACATAAGAGAACTGTTAGTGCTTGTAGAAACCAAAGCCTTTTTAAATCTGCAGTCACTGTTTTCCCACCCACAGACAAGATGAGAACAATTTCAAGAGACTTACGAAGTCGTATTTAAAAACACGTTTACTGCGATTTTATATCGCAACACAACAATTTTATTATCTAATAAATACATACCATTCCAGGAAGCGATGCGAATGTTAACGCCGCGTAATATGCTTTCAGACCGTACCAGCGGTTAAAGTATTCGCGACGTAATAGTCGTACTTCCATAGGAACTGAAATAAAACATATAAATGTACAGAAATTGAAAAATTCTAAAATAGAAAGAATATGTAATAGTTAAAGAATACGAAGGAATTGTATTTTATTCATATGGAAACAATAATTCATCCATGTCTGGCAGTATTATGCCAATGCAGGTAGCATCAATTTATACCAACAATCGTAATTCAACTTCCGTAGGTAATTGCAGTTGCAATATTTTATCTGTTTATTATATAATAACCTTCTTTATAAACTTTAAGAAAAAAAATCGTAGAAGAAGGCGGTAAAGAATAAAAATACGATAAATTTTTGAGTAATTACTGTTACCTACGACGATTCTTCCTGGGGTACAGAATTTTTTATTTTCCAGTGTAATTAATATGGCATAAATGGAATCAGTCTCATCATTGTTACTACAATTTGTATCAATTCGAGTACTGTACATTTTTAAATTAACAATTTTACAGACTTTATCGATGTTAATATTATTTATTAAAATCCCAAAATCTTAAATTCTTTCCAGCCATTTCCAGGTTTTTTTTTAATGATTTTTTAATTTTTTGCAATAAAAACGAGATTTAGTGGTGAGGCATAATATGTACGTGTTTCATTGGGAAGTTTACCATTAACAAGAGACTGCCTTCGCTTACTGCGGGCACAAGATAATGTTCTCCATCCTTATATAATAATGTTGTCCGTAAAGATAAAAATAAGATAAGAAATAAAGATTATCCACGAGTATAACCATTTCTGTCTTTAAATCGTCCATACAAAAACCAATTTTTAACTAATCCACATTAATATAACTTTGATTTTTTGTTACAGTTTATTAGTTAAAGCTGTAGGTTATGATTAAATAAAAACAAATACGTTTTTGAACATAATCATTCGTCAAGTACTCGTAAGTGGCAACTTTTACTGAAAAGTCATTCGTTTCTATTCGGAACTGCAGGTATGCGCCTGACATAATTAGTAAGCATATTTATAATCCGTGATAGCTTATTGTCATCAAATCTTTCGAATATATGTGAAGTCTGCCAATGCTCAGTGGGGTCGCGTGGTGGATGCCCTAATATCTTCCGTGCTGAGGAGACCTTTGCCCAGCAGTGGGACATACTGTTATTTTAATTGAGTTTTTATATTATTAGTATAACTAACATTAGACGTGCTTTCACACAGCCATAATACAACGTATTAATTGGATATAGTAGGAAAAATGCTGTTGCACATTGCAATTGTTAGACATTATTAATAGAAGATATAAAGATAGACGTTATGAATTGTTAATAATACCAAAAGTGTTAAAAAAATAATGAAATAGTTCAATTTGAACCGATATCAATTTATTCGATTTCTTTGTCTAATATTTGGCAACATCTATGTCATTTTCAAATGTCAACTTACAAATCAAGTTCTTTTCGAATTTGCGTGATGATGTACGAAGCTGGCGCGAGGCCTGCTTTTAAACGAGTATCGGGGCAATCCCCATGCCTCGGACATAATCTCGACCAGCGAAGGCTGGTCGGTGGTAAGGATGACCAACGGTCATCCCTAACTCTGACCGCGGTAGCGGCACTGGTACAGCGTTACACGCGGTGTGTAACGCGTGGACGACATCGTCTTCTCAACGGCGGAAGTGCGGTCGGATCCGGCTCCCCAGTGGCCTCCGACCGCAGTAGCTCTCGTGGGAGCGGGCGTGGAGGGGTGCGATGTTATTGAGGTGTGGGTGTGGTCCGTTTTCGGCCCGGTCGTACATGCGACGGGCCAACCGGACCACAAACTCCTGGATTGATTCCATTTTTAAATCGCGGGCGATTACGTCATTCCTGACGTAGCGCCCGGCCCCCACGATTACTCGAAGGGCGAGGTTCTGCTGCGCCTGGAGCCTGCGCCTCTGCGAGGCGGAAACCAGACCATACCACGCCGGAGCGGCGTAGGTCAGGCGCGAACGGACGTACGTCTAGTAGACGCCGAGTTTGGTCTTGATCGGTCACCTAGATGCCAGGATAGGGTACAGCATGTCTCGAGCTGCTCTGGCTTGTCGGACGGCGTGTCCGACCTGGAGAGCCATGCACAGCGAGCGGTCTATCCGGCATCCAAGGTACCTTATGACGTTCTGATTGGTTATCGCCTGACCTCGCAGCTCAAGCGTGGGTTGGTTTTTAATGCGGCGGATATATATGGCGGACGTCTTGTCAACGTTGACAGACATCCGCCCCTTATCCAGCCACTCGGGCAGCAGGTCCAGTTGGCGCTGCATTTTCCTCGCCGCAATCGCCGCGACGTGAGAAGACGTGAAGAACGCACTGTCGTCCGCGTACAGGGCCAACAGTACGGCTTCTTCCCAGTCGGAGGCGTTTTGCTCCAAGGTGGGAATGTCGTCCGTGTACACCGCATACAGGTGTGGCGACAGACAACTACCTTGTGGTACACCGGCTTTGATGCATCGTACCGCCGAGTCGGCTCCCTCGACGTGTACGACGAACTTCCGGTCCTGAAGAAATGACGCTACTAACCGCACGAGCGCACGGTGGGTGGCGGTGTGTGTTTTCCAGCAGCTTGTGCAGCAGACCCTCGTGCCACACTCTGTCGAAGGCCTTCTCCATGTCGAGAAGGACCCCCAGACAGATGCGGCCCCTGTTGTACTGGGCCGCAAGATAGTGCAGCACTCTGGCCAGCTGCGCTGTGTGTGGAGTGGCCGCTGCGGAAACCGAACTGTTCCCTGCGTAGCTCGATGCAGGGAACTATTCTCCGCAGCAGCAACCGTTCGAAGAGTTTTGCTACGTGCGGCAGTAGCGTGATTGGCCGGTAGCTCGCCGGAAGTCGTCGGTCCTTGCCCGGTTTCGGCAGGACGATGATTTTGCCGGTTTTCCACTCAGAGGGGAAGTGCGCCGTGCGCAGTACACCATTGTACAGGCGGCACAGCGCCACTAACCCCCTTTTCGGTAGTTGCCTTATTGCCAACGTCGTGATTCCGTCGGTTCCGGGTGCCTTGCGGAGCGCGAGATGACTCGCAGCTCTACGCACTTCGGCCGGAGTGATGAAAAGTCCACCATCCAGCCGTGGCACCGGCTCCAACAGGAACACCTGTATGTGCCGCTCCACTTCCTTGTGGAACGCAATGGCGCCTGGGGCCGATGTATTGGGCACGAATTGCCCTTCTAAGTGCTCTGCCAGAATGTCAGCCCTGTCTTGGGCTGCAACGTGCTTACGTCCGTCACTGCCCACGAGTGGACAGAGGGGTTGTGGTGTTCGGCTGAGCTGCCGGTTAAGGTGGTGAAGGGAGGTCTGCGACTCGGAGGCCCGCTCTATGCGGCGCTCCCACCCCTCACCCCTGTACGCCTTGATGGCTGCCGACAGCTCATCCTTGACCCGGTTCAGACGTGTCTTCACTCGTGGGCAGCGGGTGCGTGCCCACAACCTCCTGAGCTCCCTCTTCTCGTGCAGCCGATCGAGGAGCCTACGCGGGAGTGTGTCTTTTTCGGTGCACCTGTGGCACCGCCTTGGTCGCCGCGCGCAATTCTTCCTGTATTTTACAGGTGATTTTGCGCGCGGCATGCTCCACGTCCTCCGCGGTTGAGATGGGTGCACCGAAACTGAAGTCGGACATAGCTCTCGAATAGGCCCCCAATCGGTCCTGTACCTAGAGCCTTTGGGAGCCAGTGAGTCCGCAGCCAGACTCAGCACGATGAGCACAGGGAGGTGCTGCGTGTCCGCATCATACAGCACCTCTACCTGGACAGGGCATGGCACTTTGTGGCAGAGCACGATGTCCAGGACATCCGGAACTTGGTGTTCGTCGGCGGGTACGTGTGTGGGCTCGTCGGGGCCCAACACTTCGTAACCCGCCTCTTCTGCGTCCTCGTATAGACTCCTGCCAGCGGGGGACACGACTCGCGATCCCCACGACGGATGTTTTGCGTTGAAGTCCCCCGCTATAATGGCAGGAGTGTTGTCGGAAAAAATATTCCGGATGTCTCTGGCATTGAAGGGCGAGCTGGGCGGACGATACGCAGCGAACATGCGTATCTCTTTTCCGCCCGCGTGGAGGCATACGCCTATGGAGCGCGTGCTAACGAAGCTACGCAGCTCCTCTTCGTCGTGTACTAGGTCCCGTCTTACCAGCACGGCCGTGCCTCTGTAGGCATAGCCGTGGTCGGGGGAGATCTCATCCCGTCTGTACACGACGAAGTTTGAGAGGCGGAACGGCTGACTCGGACGGAGTTTGGTCTCTCCCAGCAGCACAATCTGGATGTTGTGCTGCTGAACCAGCATCCTAAGTTCCGAGAGCCGCTGCGTTATGCCTCCGGGGTTCCAATACATGGCCCTAATTTGCGGCGCCATTGCGTACCGCGGTCAATGATTTAATGGCGCTAGTGAGCGCAAAGAGTTAGGGTGTCGTTACCCGTCGCCATTGAGACTAGGACATCCCCTAGGATTCCCGTCACCAGCCGAAAGAGTTGGTTAATTGCCTCCTCAATTCCCTGTGCGACGTACGTGGAGTCGTGGGAATGGGAGTCAATGGCTTCCCCTTACCCCTTGGCCTTGTTGGGCCGATTGGTGTGGGCGCGGTGCGACTGTTGCAGCTGTGGCGACATTCTCGCGCAGTTTGTGCTGCAACCGCTTTTTCGGTGCAGCAGTGGTGGTGGTTTGGGAGGCGGGGGGGGGGGGGGGGGGGGGGGAGGCTATGGGATCACCACAGCTTGCCCCGCTGAATGTGATTGGGAGGTGTTCTTCTTCTTCCTCTTCCCCCTCTTTTTCTTCTTCTTGGCCGCTTCACCGCGTATTGTGGCGTCATTGGCCGGTGGCATGAGGGTGGCATGAGTGCCTGCCGCTGATTGTGTCGTGCTCACAGTTGCGGGGGTTGTCGCCGTGTTCCCCTAAGTTTGAGGGGGAAGAGGCATTACGCTCCTTTCGGGAGGGTGTGACATTTGTCTGGGTGGTGGTGGCGGTGGTATTAACGGTGACAATTTAATGCCACGGCTCTTGGCCACCCGTTGGAATACCGCACAACGCCTGTCGTTGGCTGCGTGTGCTTTTGCGCAGTTGGCACACTTCGGCGCTTCGCCCTTCCGTGGGCATTCGGCCGAAATGTGCTCGCAGCGCACACAGCGCAGGGGTCGGTGGCAGTTGGCAGATGCATGTCCGAACCCCTGACAGCGGTGGCATTTTGCGGGACCACCCTTCCCAAGCCAGGCCTCAATAGTGATGCCTGGCATGTTTAGTACCTCAGTTACGTCATAAAGGCGCTTGAGTTCGTTTTTATCGAGGTGGTCGAGTTTGAGATGGTATAGGGTTCCCGGTCTGGACCTCTTGGGCGGTATCGCTCTCGAGTAAGTGGCCGGGAACCCAATTTGCTTGAAGTACTCGACCACCTCATCAGGCGATGTGTCTCTGGGTAGCCCTCTGATCCCTACTTTTGTGGGTACTTCCTCAGGCGGAGCGTAACAAAACCACACAATTGTGGGATCTTTTTGGCTACACTCGACAAGGTAACGCTGTATTACCCGGTATTCCGCGGCATTTGCCGAGCGGCCTGGCGTGTGGTGCGTGTCCTAACTGTCCTTTGAGGACAGAAAAGTGCTTCGTCCATTGCGGCAGATATTCTACCACAATAGGTGGATATTTGCGCCCTTTCTCCTCGGGAAGTTGTGGCGGCGCTTGGTTGGTTCCCTGCGTTGTAGAGGACTGTCGGCGTGGAGATGGTGTTGCCGAAGCCGCGTTGGCGTACGTCGGTGGTGAATATGTCGCTGTAGTGGGGCCGGGTTGAGGCTCTTCTAAGTCCATCTCGACCTCATTATTGTTGTTTGCTGACTGTTGATCAGCAGTTGATGGGCCCGGAATTGGTTCCGTTATTTCGGAAGTCGGTTTAGTCAGGACGTCCTGCCTCTTGTCCTTACTGGTGGGAACATCGTCCAATTTGGGACGCTTGTCGTCTTGGGTAGGCGAATCCGGGGATGTGGGAGGACGGGGTGTCTTCGTCCGGTGCGGTAGTGGTGCTGTAGCCGCTTTCTCCCCGCTTTTGGGGGTGGTTTCAGAGGGCCCTGCAACCTTTAGTGGTGCATTGGCATTTGGTTGTGGTGGTTGGATCTGTGATGGTAGGATTCTGGTTATTTCGTTGGTGAAAATATTCCTTTCAACAAGGATTTTCACCTGCGGTTTTGCTCGCCTAGATTTGGCGGTGGTTGCGGCTTTTTTGCCACGACCCATGTTGGAGTGTTAACAGTGTGCATCTAAAACAGAATGTTCTAGAGCGCACCGGAGAATGGTTTATTAATAATACGCACTCTTTCTGCGCGCGTTTATTGAGACTGCTCCCTTGGTACCGCACCCCACCGGGGGACGCCCGGAGGGAAAACTACCGATGAGGTAAGCTGTTTCGGATATAATCTCAATAAACGACGGATGGGGTGACTTTAGCTGTTTTTAGGCTACTGAGGTAGCCTTACCTCACCACTGGACCCTTTTTAATCAAAAAGGGCGACCAAGTAGCGAGTAGCTACGCGGTTGGACTTGGTTGAGCGTTGTAACGACAGAAATCCAAGAACGAACAGCGAAAGAGGAACGAAGTGTCCTAGGCGACTCGACGCGGAACGGAGCAATGCTCGACGATCGGCGGAGTTCGCTTCGGAAGGCTTAGGCTGTGCACAACCCTAGTGCTGATGCAATGAAGGCGTACACAACGTTTACCACTCACTTGATCCTCGAATTTGCGTGTCAACTCACAAAGCAAGTCATTATTAAAAAGAAGAAGAAGACGAATTTGCGGGTGCGTTTTCAATTTGGTTTTTTTGGTTACGCACTACATCAAACCAATATATACCCGCCCAATTCCTGGATGATGTTGATATCGTGTATGACACCCAAAGTAATGTGTAAGAAAGGAAAAATGTGTTTGCAATTCGATAAAAAGCAAGGGTTATTATGAAAAATAAAAATATCCCTTTCTTAAACACCCATTCTTTTTTAAGACAATTTCCTAAAGTTCCTAATTTATATTTCATATTGTCATCCCTATATAACTTTCCATGTGTGTCCCTGTAGCCGAAGTAGGTATGACTGGTAGCCGTCCCTTTTTGCTAGCGAATTTAAGTGAAAACATAAGAAACCTTGAAATATGTATATATACTTGATATACAGGTTTTGACTTGGTTGGGCTACGCGCCCATACAAAAGCGGGCTATTATACTCACATAGTAACACGGGTATCATGACATGAGTATACATGAAGAACACCAGGACACTTATGCAGAACTTGTAATTAACTATCGGCTTGGCGGCATCGTTTCCCACGAGGAAGAAAATACTGCCGATCAGCACTGCAGACACCACGTGATGCGCTAACTGAATCCACAATGTTACCTATAGCAAAAACACATTAGTTAAGATCAATTACAAAGTTTTGTACGAACTTAGATGTAATTCATATTTATGATCCTTTGATCAATAATGTTTTATGTTACTTTTAAGCAATTACATGCGGAAGAGGTAACAATGATATGGTGACAGTGTTAACAGTTTTACAAGTATCCTTGTATTGACTGATGTTTTTGCTTTCAGTCCCGAGACTATTAAAGCTTCATCTGACGCAGAACCGGTGGGCTAGCCAGAACCCACGGATTTGGGCCCTCCTCTGTGGGTAGGGCCACGCATGTGCTCATGCGTGCGTGTAATTATGGTGTGTCATCAAAGGGCCATCGAGGTCGCGATTCGGTCCGAAACCCCGATGGCCGTCGACTGTGCAATTAGCTAATCGGTGGCTGGGAGCGGTGAGAACCGCCCCGGAACGCGGGTGTACCTTGTGTACGCGTTGTGTTGGTCTCGCCGTGCTCGGAGGCGAGGGCGAACTAGTGTGTTTGTTGTTGCACTAACTGTGGGTGTAGTGTTATCCGGCGGGACCCCCGGTGGGTCCGGCGTATCAAAGTCCCCTTCCTCGACCGGGTCGATGAGGACGTTTCGCGGGCGACGCTTGTTGACGTTCGCGTTTGTGTCGGGTTGGTAATTTGCTGCGCTTACCACTAGAGGGTTGGGATGATATTCAACTCTATCGAAGAAACGTTTAGTCAGGTCTTTAAAATATTGGCGAATCGTCGGGAGTCTGCAATCGCTGTGCAGGTCGACTTTGCGTTGATACCACTGCGCACCGGTTGCGCGGCGGATGAACTTATTTTGTACTATTTGCAACTCGTACAAGCGAGTAGGGTGCGTGTGGGCGAAGATCATGCATGCGTAGGACATAATAGGTCGAACGCAGGTCTTATATAATAATGATTTGTGCCTTAGGGGCATTTTACTTTTAGCATTAGTTAAATTGTGTAGCCGGCCGGAGACGAACGCGGCTCTATTGCGAACGTTATCAATGTGCGTAGTAAATAACATACGCGAGTCGAAAGTGTCTCCTAAGTATTTTACCTTTTTCTCCCAGGGGAGCGTGTGTTTTACATGTATTTTTGTGTTCAATAATACGAATATTAAACTTTAACGTGTACAATAATAAGAGTTCTTTGACTGATTAATGAATTAATAGACTAAGCTATAGGTCGCATAATAATGTTATATGGTACGCTAAGCTGGTATACACTGTTATTTAGAAACACACAGCAGTGAGATCTAGTATTGTCCTTCAGTACATGGTCGATGAAAAACAATAACAAGCAGGTACACAAAGCATTAAAAATAGACTAGGTGTTTTCCTAAACTGGTTAAAGAGATGGAAACATTTTTAGTAATAATTAGTACCAGTAACCGTCAATTTTAAGTAATTTATTTATTCCCATTTTACAGCATTTTGAACTCTTATAATATCGGTGTACTTGGATGTAACTATATTAATATTTGGATCCCAAGCAGGTGGAAGATATGGTTAGAGATAGAAATAGAAATAGTAATTATTATTCGCTGCGTTTGGAGTTTTATGGTTCTACAAGTAACCTAAAGAATACTAAGATAATGACGTTCGTATAGATATAACGAAAAGAGGCAAATGTATATTTGCATATTTTTATCATTAAACTAAAAATCGACATTTTGCGATAAACATTTTGAAAGTTTTTTTGTTATCGTATAAAATAGTTACCGATTAACAACCTAAAGCTTTCCGTAGCTTTCAATCCATGCAAATAAAAAAGTCTAATTCAAATAACAATAAATCTATTCGAAAATATGCAAGAGAAAACGGCGAGTCACCTTACAAGTTCTGTTTCTCTTATTCAAACACGTTGCCTAACGAACTTACAAGTGAAGATCAATAAAAGCTTGTGAAAAAGCTCGCTTGTATATCGAGATATTTGCTCTTTTCAGATGGCAACGGAATCTGAACGGTAAAGGATAGTATACGTGTTAGTTCTACAAATTTTGCTCTCACTGAATAGAAAATATATGAGGATATATACAACATTAAAGCGTAGACTACTTTGAAACAGTATATACAAAGCACAAAATTGAAGATTAACGTTTCAACTTAAATGATTTCAATAAATTCTTATTCCTGTTTTTGTATTTCTATTAGAAACCTTTTTAAAATATGAGGCCGGTGTAGTTGTACCGTTATAAAATAAGAGTGTAATATAATAGTAAAAACACACATCATTTAATTATTCATAATAACCTTATGAGTATAAAAGCGGAACTCGGTGGGAACTTGTAATATCTCCAAGAGAATCTGTCAAAACTCCAAATCCATTACCCAGTAATGTAAAGTGCAATATTGCTGGCTACATTAGAGTAAAAGGAAGTTTTTACAAAACAGTGCTAACAATGATTAATTGTGACATTGAGCGATGAATCTAAAGATGGAAAAGTCTTCTTCAAAAATAGTAAAAACAAGATTATGGTCTCCGATCATATCTATTGTATCATTGAATTAAATACAATATAAATTACTTAGGTGAAACTGAAAGTTCGTTGAAAATCATAAAATGTCTCAATGTAGAAAGTTTCCAACACTTTTATTGTTCTTCGAAATATAATTGTTGTAAAGTCTCCGTTTCTCCTTATACATCTTCGCATTTAACGGAACTACTGATAAAAGCAGTGGACCCATTCTTCACACAGGGGTTTCTTTTACGAGATTGTTAGAACCCACGCTCAACCTAAACTCAAAATTTATCTTTGTTGTTGGCAAACTAATTGTAACAACTACATGGCGGAAGAATATTCATTTGTTTTTTTTTGCGGAGTACCTATGGTGAAGCGTTGTCGTGGTGACGGAGGATCCTGCTTCGAGGATGTTACTGTTGAACATTTTCTAAGAATCACGGCAATATATCAAACAACCTGCAGTCACTGTCCTTCTATCCACACAACTGTGGCCCTACCACACTTTGGTCAGAAAAGTGAGAGAATAGGGCAACTTTTTTTCCTTGACTTTTCCTTGCGGCTGTGGCCGGAACTCAAAAGGAAACATCCACTGAGCAGATTTTCTTTTTGTTTCGGGTTCGTAGCAATATATCCAGCTTTCATCACAGTGACGATGTCAAATACAACATTGGAGTGACCATCGTTGAACTTTTCTAATATTTTGCGACACTAACACATGCGAAGGCGTTTCTGGCCGTCGGTCAGTTTGGGGAAACCATTTGGTACAAGGCTTCCTGACGCTTAAATTGTATAAGAATTCCCGAATATGCTCGCAGGTCACACTCTTATCTACCTCTATCATGCTTCGTACACCACTGATGTTATTTTCAGATATATTACGGCGGTAGGACCACGCAGTACCCTCGGCTGTTGCACGAATGGGCAAGCTCGTTCGGGTAAGTACTACGACCTCACAGAAGACCAGCGTAAAATAGAAATGTAATACTTTCGCGTTCTCGTTTGGCAACTTTTCGGAGCAAAAAAAAAAGGTTGTCAACACAACGAAAGTCCCGAGGGCTCTGTGCTCGCAGCAGATGTCCATGGACGTCGATACTTAACATCAGGTGACCCGTCTTCTCGTTTGGCAACTTTTCACAAAAAAAAAGTTGTCCTTTCACATAAAAAAAGACGTTCCCCACACAGATCATAACTGAGATTGTTAAGCCCACGCTTAAACTTGTTAAACTAATTGTAAATAGTGGCACGAGAAGAATCATTATTATTAAAATGCTTGTCGAAATCTATAATTGCGTTGTTTTTGAATCACGTAATATATCAGTACATGAGTCAGTAAGACCAAAAAACAATGAAAGCCCTATATCCCACTTTTAACGGTTATTAGGGCAAACATTTAGCCTCGGCTGTTGCACGCATTTGTCCGGGTAAAACCAATTAAGCGTAAAAGAATTTGACAAATAATTTCGCGTTTCGTCTGGTGAGTGAGGTGGCCGGAGCCAAATTTTCAAAAGGTCGTCAACGCATCTGTAACCCTCGGTTGTAGCAAATGTCCATGGGCGGCGGTATTCACTTAACATCAGGTGACCCGTCTGCTCGTTTGGCAACTTTTCGCATATAAAAAAAACGAAAGTCGTAATAAATCATGGACCGAAAATTTTCTCGCGATAAATTAATTTTATGGTGTAACAATACTTTTGGACTTTTGGACGCCAATTAACAAAAAAAACAATGAAAGCAATATATCCCATTAGATTATTATCAAACATTTATATGTTCAAAATTTAAAAGAAGTTTTCTTTGGCAATGTTTCTAACTGGTCAGTTCTATTAACTTTCATTGTGACCCTAGTATTTTTTAATTATCAATAACTGTATCTCTGTCTTTAGTTTCGTTCTTATCATTTTTCTATTTGGTTATTGCATATATTTGAAATTGAAATCGAAAAGAGGAGATCAAGTAACCTATTTATATGCAATTTTTATTTGGCACTTGGACCTCAAACAACTTGTGGAATTTGAAATGATATTACTGAATCTGCAATCTTTGGAGCAAACGCTGTGAGTAAAATTATAATGAGCTAATATTACCGTCTAAAATTAGTTCTATTTATATAAAGCATGATTTTTATTAAAGAAGATGATTGGTAAACTGGTAGCTCATTACCGTCTAAAATTAGTTTTATTTATAAATAGCATGATTTTTATTAAAGAAGATGATTGGTAAACCGGTAGCTCATGACCGTTGTTAAGTGATTACCACTGCTTATAAAAATATCTGTGGTGGGTATTAATTGTGTTGGTTAAGAGTATTAGTAGTGCTGGTTGTATAAATTAAACTTTTATATTGACTTTCCATTCTCTCTCATGTCACAACATGTTAATCATGTTGTTAATGGTGTTGGCTAGGGTTTTTTTTGTTCATTCGCCTGCCAACTTCAAATAAATCACAACCGAAAAAATTATCTGTGGGTCGCAAAAATACTTGTACTGACACCGCGAATATAATTTTTGCTATGTACCAGAGATAATCGAGTCCACTCGAGACACGTTTTCCCTTCAAAAAACAATTATTTTGGGTTCTTGTACCATGTACATTTTTCATATTTCGTTATGACATGTTCTTATGCTTTTGTTTTTTAATTTAAACTTAAAAAATATAAAGCACTCTTATGACTATTTACAAATACTAAAGAGAGACAGTTTATATAATTTTCACTGTTGAATTTACTGAGTACATCTAGTTAATGTCTCGTATTTATTTTAGATGTATCCATAGATGTGGATTCACCCTTGTTTCTCAGCTTAAAAAAAAGTTACAATAGGCGACAACAAATTTGCTCACTCGTGTTTAAAAAAAGGGTAGGATCTAACTCACCGAGTCCCTTGTGCTCTGCATGAACATCCGTTTAGTTAAAATCATGAACTGAGTGAGGAAGGTCGTGGGAAATTCCATTTTCTGCATCTGTTCTTTAGCAACGTGCTCAACGAAGATTCTTTGGATAGAATCATCCGAATGAAGAACTGGCTTCCTGAAAGTGAAATGAAGAAATACCGAAACGACTATGGAAGTTAGAAACTAATGTCATTTAATTAATTGTTATAGGCCTTTACTTGATGTTTGAGTGCAAGTTGTTTAGATCATAAATTATCAAGACTAGCTTAATTGCTTTTTAACATACTAAATATATTTTTTTATGTGAGAAAGTGGCGAACTAGCTGACGGTTCACCAGATTTAAGTGATAACCGTCGCCCATGGACGCCAACACCTTTCAACGGAGTGTTCCCACCAGTGCTACCTACTCACCAGACCGAACGCAGAAGTGTAACACTTCTACTTCACGCCAGTCTTCTGTTAGGTCGTGGTATTTACTCGGATGGACCTGCCCATTCATGAAACAGCGAAAACTGTTGCGTAGCCCTACGTTGCACAGTTAAATATATTTTTTTCTTAATATACAGCGTGTCTTTACAATCGCGACAATAAATGAACACACGTCTAACGCTACTTGCCAATAATCATAAAAAATATTAACGAAAAAAAATCCATAATTAAAAAAAATAGTTTTCAAACAAACTAATTAAGTAAAAAAGAAACAAAATTTGTAACATCCTATACAACTACAACTGACTGATTCATACATTCAGAGACTTTATCATTCGTTGCCACAGCGTCGCATTACAAGCATCTCCTTCTAACAGTATGTTTTGTCTCTTTCAAATTTATTCAACCCATTTATATGCTTTGTGACCTTTACAAATGAACTTTACGTTACAGTTTTATATGTAAGGTTGTTCTAAAATTCGTTGTTTTAGAAAATTTAATAACTCTGTAAATATTGATGTTTAAAGAACGTAAATGTTGAATGCAATTTTAAAAATTAATCTTCTATATTCCTGTTCATTTATTGTCGCGATTGTTAAGACACGCTGTATAGCACAACTTGAATTCATTCCTGCTCTGATATTCGGTTTTTCTCAAAGCACTTAAGTAAAAATATCATTCTGTTATAAAACAGTTTAAGTTCAAACTACACTACAAATTTTCTACACATTTTAACTAAACTACACTAAAATATCACTATATATTAGGATTACTGAAAACATACTACTACAATATAAAATCCCATAAGTTAAAATATTTAAAGGAAGCCATAAGAATACCGATTAAATACATAAAATTCTCGTTTATTCTTTATAACATATCATACGTAATAATTTAAGATTACAGCATTGTAAAGGATACTTTTTAATATAATACGAAAAGAAAAATGTGGTCAATATTTTAGAGGTTAAAGCACTCGCAGGTAAATAATATTTCTTGAAATATACCTTTCGGCCTACCTGTCTTAAAACATTCGGGAGACGTTGTGTCATTTAAAAGAATACAAAAAATACCATTTCGCTCCACACACAAATTAATGCAGTTTGCGTTTCATTAATTTTATATAAACTTTTATTGTCAATGTGCTATGTTAAGATTTTTTAACATAGTGAAATTAATTTTTATTGAATTAAATTGATAAGTAAAATAAAGATACTTCAATTTTATACGAAAACTACATGAACATCATGAATATCTCAGATAATTTTCACCGAAAACATGGCAATGGGAACCACGATTCTAGATCGCTTTGGCACACGTATCTACCGAGCTAAATCTCTTACATTACTCGAACTTCTTCCTTCTCCGTGCTGAAGAAAAACAAATCCATACTAACCTCCCACCTCTTAACGTCATTCTGTCCAACTTTCGACAGAGTTTTCCATTCTGACACAGTTCCGACATCTGGGCGGACGCCTCGGGATCGCTGGCGAGAGTCTCCAACACAAAGTCGGCAGGGTTGTGCGTAGATGGACATATGTGGCCGATTTCGGTAAGAAACGGAACGAGAAGTGGAGCTGCACCCTGTACAATATTGTTTTAACTTGATTAACTAAATTCATCGAATATTTTTAAACTTAAGCCACAGACTTAAATAGTTATTACCGTGGTAGGGCCACGTAACAATCGCTGTTGCACGAACTGGCAGGTCACCAGCTTGAAGAGGAAGTGTTATACTTCTGCGTATCGTCTGGTGAGTGAGGTGGCCAAGGGTCCATAAAAGGTGGCAACGCATCCCTACGGGTGTTGTAAATGTCCATAGGCGGCGGATATCACTTAACACCAAGGGAACTGCCAGCTTACTTGCCACCTTCTCACGTAGAACAAAAACATAGACCTATAAATTAATAAATAGTGTAACGCGCTCTACACTATCCTTAAATTTTTACTCTAGTCACTAGCATTATATATAAATACTAATAGTTTTAATCATAATCATTTACAATAGTTTCCAGTTAGCTGTCGACAAAAGTATATTTATTATAAGTTATTCAAAGTTTTATTTATTGTCAAAGAGCTATTTAAAAAATTCAAAGAAAAATACTTTGCCCTTGCTTAAGGATAGCATTATCCTGTGTTGTAAGGACGTTTTACACACATGAATTTTACGCGGACAAACACCCAGATGCGAAACAACTATCTGTGGGTCACACAAATAGTTGTCTCGTATGGGAATCGAACACACGACCCCCGCGCCGAAGCTTATTAACTCGTGAATTTAATTTCCATGTAATGCATTAAAGTAAACTTATTTTGTATAGTTATTACACATGTTTAATTATGGCAGATATTATAGGAATTAAATAAATGTTGATAACCTCCTAGTAGTTCATCGGAAATACCTTGAACTACTTATACTTAAGGAGAATGTCACAGTATTTCTCATGGTTGTTCACGTTTTTGTGCTTGGGTTAATGATACTTTAGTTGAACTCGGTATGCAAACATCTTGAATAGAATTGAATACCTTATATTCAATAACACAAGATAGAACCTGTCAGCAATATATTGGATACACAACTAGCTATTCATACTTATTAAATCGTTGTCATTGGAATGATAATTTAAATAATTTAAAGTTTTTGCAATATACTGTACGTGTATTCGTAAGAAAAATAAAGCTCTTGAAGTTTTTATTACATCTATTTTGCTTGCTTTGCGAATTTAAAATCATGCTACTTAAGATTTTTTTTAAATACAATAGCCGCTACTGACCGATGTTAATCAATATACGTATTGACAAATTAAAAAAGACTTGTACATTCAGTTTAGAATTATAGACGATGACAAGCATTTTGAATGTTAATGATACCATAAGAAGAACATACATGGCATTAATAAAGATTAAAATAAAATAGATAGTGTAGATGCATAGCAGTTAAAAATGCGGAATATTATGACGTCATACTTTACCTGATAGCAACACATGCCCCTAGAGACGATGTATACACGGTCGAACAAAGAGAATAGGGAGGCAGAAGGTTGATGGATGGTGCAAATAATAGTACGACCTTGGCGTGAGAGCAACCGAAGAAGCACCACGAGCTGCCTTATTGACACGACGTCTAAGCCACTGGAAATAAGTTTTGCACGTGTCGATATCTTGAGTGAATTACGGACAATAAAAATTAATGTTAAAATAAAAATAATGTATAAAACACATTAATGTCACTTTTCATGAAGCTTATAAAAACCGAACGAAATATGTGATGAGTCTATTGTAACTCGTAATATACGGGTACGATACAATTATCAGAGAGTGTTTAGTTTTCGAACAACATTTCGACGGTATGGAAACGCATTGGCACACTCCACTAAGATTAAAACTCGAGGTTCTTGCAATCGTCCTATCACCAGTTTTAAGTGTCGACAAAATTTTTAAATATAAATGTATTGGAGGAGGAAATTCATTCAGGGATTGACCAGTTGTATATGTTTGCGGGAACAATTGCGGTGCAGCTATAAATGTTTACAATAAATCGCAATTGCCTACATTGAAGTCGCCACAATTGCAAGCGTTCTGGCAACCACTTTCACAGGTGAAGTTACGTTTGCTGATGTTCATTGGAAGAAATATACTCTAATTTGTAAACCTACTGGAGATATGTCGAATTAGATAAATGTAGAGACATTGTATGTTCCTATAATTTTCCTTTTACAACGATTTGGTGTCATCATAAATAAACAATAAGGTTATATAAAATCGTTGGGAAATTAATATTAGTAAGAAAGAATATATCAATTTATGACCTGTCTTCATTTTGTGTTTTTAATACTTAAATAATACTGAATTTATTATTCAGCAAAATTGGCTCCAGTTCAATAATTTTATTTGGTATATTAATTTAAAAAAGACCAGCGGTACTATCATTTTCTTTTCGGCATAAAACGGTGATTAGGTAAAAAAAAAAAACAAGGCAAACATAAGATTGCACTGGCAAGTTATTGGAAATATAAGAAATATGAAGATAAATATTTTGCTTCTTTCTATAAAAACATAAAGTGAAATATATCAAACGAGCAGTATCCACATCTGTCAACTGTGTCTTTAGTATTGCTGCATATATGTATGAATGAATGCGTGAATCTTTTTTATTTCATCTCGCAGCTTGCCCTTGTACTACTGACGAATAGCATACAACGCTATCTGCTTTTTAAATAAGCTCCTGTGATAGAATAGTTACTCTGAAATTAATAATGTGTTCGATTTCACCTGGAGTGAGCAATTTGTAGCAAGTGCCCAGTGTATGTAACTTTTTTGATGTTTCAAAACACAGCAGGCAGGATAGAGTAGGCCGACAGCAAATTTTTTCTTTACTTAAAAGTTACATAAATTGTGTTTTAGAATGGTAGAATAATTTTATTGATTTTACATTTGTTTATCGCTTGTCGAAATCTTCAGACGAAAGTTCGGAGATAGGTCACAACGCAAATAAAAGGGACCTTGCAAAACCCGTACCATAACGTGGCTTAGATGAACACTCATTACTTATTTACGTTTCATAATCAAATTCGGTGTACTTTGAATATTGGGCACAAGCTTACAAGAAGCACGTTTCAATACTCCAAACACGACTCGCCTTTACGACCGATAAAACGTAACCGTTGGGCTGTGATTAGGCCCCTAACTTCTAATTGTCCACGTATTTTTACTGCACCCTTCTACAATCGTATGTAATAAGGATTTTGCTAACAATAATGGGTTAGTTAATTAATTTTCCTTTATAAATGTAAATGTTTAAATGTATTACAGATAAATTGATTAAATGTTTTCATAACAGGGAGACAAAAAATATGAAATACTTAAATTTAAAGATTATTGAGGTTATGCTAAGGATTTTATTCTAAAGCTTTTTTCCTTCAGTTATTTTATAGCAACTGAATACAAGAAGTACGTTTATGTATGTATATATTTTTCTATTAAATGTTTTACGAATAGGGTGTCGGTAGGTAGTTCGTGTCTTATTTGATTTAATTCACAAGCTCTTAGATTGAAGACAATATATCGTTTATACATTATTTATAATTTATATTTATTTACAAAAGAAAATTATATTTAAGTATGTTCATCTGTTATGTAGTAACAATAACACGTTGCTTTATTTCGGACTGGAGAGCGTTCTGTAGTAAATTGTCCTAAAATATTATTGCTTAATATTTATTTTTTTAACTTCATCCTTTTTACGTATTAGTTTTTTCCTAAAGTGTAAAGTTTCCGAGATATCGGTAAAAAAGTTTTTTTCTAGATTGCGTCCAGAGCTCCTCCGGAAACTGTCATAATTTTGTGATTTTATCTCAGCGTGATTTTCGTCTCATGCTATTTTATTGAACCTAAATCATATAAAATAGAAAAATTCGATCGGTAATTTAGTGAGAAATTAAGTTCTATTTTTATTAGCCTATACGCTGCTAGTTCGTAATTTAGAGTATCGATGCATAATGAATTCATGAAACACTTACGTAGTAGGTTCATCCAAGAATATAATTGGTGGGTTGTTGACGAGTTCTAGGGCAATAGACAGTCGTTTATACTGCCCTCCGGATAAGCGTTCGGATTTGGTGTTCCTGTGGTCCCACAGTCCTAGTGTCTGTAGGATTTCTTCCACCTAATACAGAGTAAAATATACTACTTTTTTATTAGAACTTATTATTATTATACACTTTATTTTACACTACAAAGAATTTAATACAATTAGTATAAAATAAGTCTTAAAAGCTAGGTACAATAATGCGTTCTTATCGCTAAAAGGAGATCTTGTTCAGACAAACAACCTTAGGACGAGGAAAAATAAACTAATGAATTAATACATTTTGCAAATTATTTGCATTATAGTCATGTACCTTTTTTTTACAAATATTTTCTATCGATAGAGAAATATATTGGACAATATAATCACAAAGAAATTATCAACGAAAAAGCTTATTTTTATAAGAAATTTGAAATATTACACGTTATTTTACGTAAGGAAATCCCCATTTTGTAGGTCAGTACATTAAAACCCACAATTTTGCCAAAATGCTAATGCAATAAAACGCAATAATGGCAATATTTGATACAGCAAAATTGGTATTATTGCGAAGTTTCATATGTATATCCGAAATTGATTATAGCTTTTTTCTATTTAAGAGAATTTACTCAATTTTTTATTTTTTATTTAGCTTTTTGTTTACTACAAACATGTTGGTTAGGTTCATTAAGTACACTTTTTTATACATATAAAGAAGCGGGCCAATGTCTAGGTCATCTGAATGTGACGGCAGCCCAATGATGTATAAAAAGTGCTCCTAACAAACCTAACCAATCAGCTTGAGATAAATAATGTTCCTTTTTATAAAACATTGTCCTCACTTAGCACGGTTGCTTGATTAGTCCTCACATTATCCTGTGTTTTAAGGACGTTTTACAAACATTAATTTCACGTGGACAAACACCCAGATGCGAAATATCTATTCGTGGGTCACACAAATAGTTGCCCCGTGTGGGCATCGATCCCACGACCCCCGAGGCCAAAGCCAATACTGCGCCACGGAGTCGTCAAATGCTGAAACTGCTTTATCCATTTATATATTTACTGTAATAAACATCAATCCATGGTTTAAGACTACGGATATTTTGGAATTTAAGTTTATCCAAAAACTTTATTTTAATTAACTAGAGATGTACCCTACCTATCGAACTGTTATATAAGACCTGTATTACAGAACGAGGTTTTAGTTAGCTAATTACTTCGCTAAGTCAACAAATTCATTCACACAACTCATTAAAAAGGGATACATGGAAATACACCTTGGTACGCTACCCTTGGTTTCCTAAACATTCAATTTCACATAGTTATAGAGGGCTATGCTTCATCATAATTTAATCTAACTTTCACCATATGTCATATATAGAAGAAAACCGTTGAGAGAATTAATTATTTCTGGATAAAAGCCTTAATACTGTATAAAAAACTGTAAAACATACAGTGTTTCGGCCTTGTCGCTAATGATGGTGACATTACGCAAGCGCTGCCATCAATGAATACATACAATAAAGTTATATTAACCTATAATCAGAAATAATGACGGCGTGGTCGACCGACTCCGATAAGTGACTTAACCATGGGGTATTATTATTATCATGCGCTATTATAACATGATTATATATTTTTTTACATTTCTACAATTATTTTAATTCTAATTAATCAGTACGCACTTTTATCTCTTTCTATAATACTTTATTACTTTACCCCAAAGTAACATAATAATTGCTTGTTGTAGTACCTCAAATTATATGAAGCACAAAAAAACGGTAGATTTTTTTTTTTTATGAACTGATGTTTTTGCTTTCAGTCCCGAGACTATTAAAGCTTCATCTGACGCAGAACCGGTGAGCTAGCCAGAACCCACGGGTTTGGGCCCTCCGCTGTGGGTAGGGCCGCGCATGTGCTCATGCGTGCGTTTAACTACGACATGTCATCTAAGGGCCATCGAAGTTGCGGTGCGGACCGAGACCCCGATGGCCGTCGACTGTGTTTTTAGCTAATCGGTGGCTGGGGGCGGTGAGAACCGCCCCGGAACGCGGGTGTACCTTGTGTACGTGTTGTGTTGGTCTCGCCGTGCTCGGAGGCGAGGGCGAACTATTGTGTTTGTTGTTACACTAGCTGTGGGTGTAGTGTTATCCGGCGGGTGTAGTGTTATCCGGCGGGAAAACGGTAGATTCTTTACCTTAAGAAATATTTTACTACAGTAAGTGGTAAATATCATCATTTGGATAGTAAAAAGTCATTATCATAAAAAAGATAAAAGTAAAGTAACAGCCTATACATGTCCCACTGCTGGGAAAAGGCCTCCTCTATAGAGAGGGTGTCAGGGCATAGTCCACCACGCGGCCCCACTGCGTATTGGCGGACTTCACATATCTTCGAAAAAATATTTTTTTTTGTTATTATTTCGAAAATATGCAGGTTTCCTCGCGATGTTTTCCTTCACTGCGGAGCACGTGATAAGTCAGCACTTAAAGTTAAAAACTTCATTGGTGCCGGCACCGGGGATCGAACTCAGGTTGCTCGAGTATATTGAACTAAAGGCGAGCGCCCGGATACTGAGCTATTACGGCTCATTATCATAATGTTATATTTAATTCAAAATCGTGTAAAACGTACATTTACGTTAAAATTTGACAATAGAACTTGCGGTCCACTTGATATTTATTGATTACAGGCACCCAAGAACATCTGAGGAAATGTAGATTCGTTCTTATACTGACACTTCACACAAGTCTTCTGTGACCCGTGGTTCTTACCCGGACAACCCTACCTATTCATGCAAAAGTTACCACATTTTTCTAAATGTAATATTAACCACTCAGATGTCATTTTTGTCGAGAATTTTGCGGACCCTCAACGAATTGCTTTCAAGGATTAAAGAAAGCGGTCTTATTGGAACAGTTACAAGAAAAAGATCTGACGGTGTTAATCGCAATGCTCTCACACTCAACCATTCTCAGTTTGTGTGCTATATGGACTAATCGACTATAAATTAAAAGTGTATCACTAAACACATACGAAGCGCTAATATAAAGCACTCCCTAGTTCACCCTCGCTTACGAGCAAGACACTCGCTTTCTTTGGTTTTTACGTACGCATGAACAGCAAGGAGGCTGACAGGCGGACAGTCACTGGAAACTGTTTCCAGCGACTGTCCGGCTATTGATATTTTACATATTCTGGCGACTTAAAGCCGAACATCATTTCAAATATCTAGCCGAGCATTGCAGTGTCAAGCAAGGCAATGAATAATATTTTTTTATAGATAGGTCTTATGACCTTATTTATCTTTCATCGGTCTACACTTAAGACATCTGAACTCATTAGCATTTTAGATATATTTAAATAATAATATTTAGAAGAATAAACTTAATCTATAAACAACAACGTTAAGATATTCTTGTTGGTATTGTTATTGTAAAATAATTAAATTTTATTTCAACATAACTTATATGAGAGTAACTGATAGTAGGTACCTGTTTGTAGCCTTTGTTTTTATTAGAAGGAGAAGCTGGGGCATTATAACCTAACTTTCCTTAATAATCTGCTGAACTTGAGTCCTGACTAATATTAAATTTAAAAAGGGAACCCTAGCAAAAATATTTCCAACATGTTATACCGTTCTACCTAATACAGGGAGATTTTTTGAGAAGTGCCCAAATTTACACCGGGGGTTCAGACTCGGTAGTATAATCGTTTATTGAAATAAAAAACAAAGTTTTTTTTCCAAAAAAAAATGCCATTCTATTCCCTAAAAAAAAGAAACGTGTTGACAATGCGGTAGTCATTCATAAATACCTAAATTTTATTGTGCACGAACTTGGTTGCGTGTTAATTATGAATGATCGCGTGTAAAATAAATGAGTTGCGTATAAATCACGCACTTTTTGAGATAAGTTCAAATGAATGTAATTAATTACTTACGAGTGATTTTAAATATTTATCATGTTTTATATAACATTATTTATGTCTAGAATTTAATAGAAAAGCCACCCTGTATATCGTCTGGAATGTGCTTCGAAACCAAAACATGCATTCTGCATGCCATATTTCAATATAAATTTACCTGACAGACTTACAGGCTTTGCTCTATTGATTTCATGTGAAGTTCTTAAAAGAATCGTTTAAATACTAAATAATTTAATTATGCCTTTTAGTAGCCAGCGAGTAACATAAACATTATACAAATATTCCTGAAATTTATTTTGAAATTTTTGCATTCTTCAAATATTTTGTACAATGCCACCGCATCAATCAAATATGATTAGCTTTACATTATTGACCAGACGTTAAAATCACAACATAGTATAAAACAAAGTCATCCTGCCGTTTGTCTGTCCCCATGTATGCTTAGATCTTTAAAACTACGTAACGGATCTTGATGCGATTTTTGTTACTAGATAGAGTGATTCAAGAGGAAGGTTTATATGTATAATACATTTCACCCTTGCGAAGCCGGGGCGGGTCGCTAGTATACCATAAAAGTTACTCATTGCTGGGTCCAAATGCTTATAAATTCGTAGAATATATAAAGTAATTCATATAAATATGCAGAAATAGATACAAATTAGAAAAATGCTTATGACTGTCATAGTAATATCACTCACAATTAGCTCTTTCTCCGCCTTCCCTAACTCCTTTCCCAATTTAAGGTCGGCAGCGACCCTCATTGACTCGGAGACGGTGAGGCGCGGCTGGAGCAAGTCGTCTTGCATTATGTAGGTGCTAAGTTTCTTGAACACGCGCATTTCGCGAGGGTGCCCGTTTACCGTAATGCGGCCGTTCACGCCTTTTGCACTGTTGATGTGAAAAAATATTAAAAATAAAAACGTGTATATGTACTTATGTACGCACGTAAGATTTATTCTTCACGAAACAAAAGGAAAATATTTTTTTTATCCCGTGTGCCAGAACTCTTTGTTCGTGAAAATAAAAGATATTAAATGCAAATGATAACGTTTTAATAATTAACTTGGAATTATAGGTAAACGTCAATAAAAAAAGATTTATTTAACGGTTCCAATCAACAATATAAAAAAATGAAATAATAAATTTTCGTTACTTCTGAAAATTAGTTTTGCCAATATAGATCATCTTTTCCAAACTTTACTAAACTGTACATTGATCAGGTATAGAGGGGATCAGATAATAAGTAAGAAAACTATTTGAACTTTTAGGCTTTGCAAAATAATTACTTCGCTCTACAGTCTGTTAATATAATCAACAGGATATTTATTGAACTACTTAATTTGGCGAAATTGGGCAGTCTGCGTCATGTTTAAAACAGAATCATCATCATAGGCCACTGTAATTCCAATTTTTTTTTGTGAGAAAGCTGCTAACGAGCAGGCCGTTCTTTTTTCTTTTTTTGTGAAGTGTAGTTCCAAAAAAAAAAAGCTGGCCGTTCACCTGATGCTAAGTGATAACCGCCTGCCCATGGACATGTGCAACACCCGTAGGGTTGCAGATGCGTTGCCACCTCTTAATAAAATGGGCCCCGGCTACCTCACTCACCAGAAGAAACGCAGACGTGCAACACTTCTACTTCACGCCGGTCTTCTGTGAGGTCGTGGTACTAACCCGGACAGACCTGCCCATTCGTGCATCACTATTGCGTGGCCCTACCGCCGATTGTCGAAATGTCAATTTCACCATTAATGGAATGGATAGAAGTTTTCTTATCGTTTTCTTGTTTTACGCGAATATTATACATGGTTAAATGAAATTATTTTATGGGTTTTATCGCCTTTTAATTTGATTTCAAATTACTGAACCGGTCATGCGGTTGCATTTCTAGCGGTCATGATGAGTCTGTCCCATGACAATAAACGCTAGAAAGGGTGCGAAACGTCTTGAATTTAAAACCAAACTATAACGCGATAAAAGAGACACGCCACACAGAAGACGGTCGTGAAGTGGATGTGTTATTTTTGCGTTTCGTCTGATGAGTGAGGTAGCAGGAGCCAATTTTATGAAAAGGTACAAAAAACGGTAAAACGCATCTGTAACCTTACATATATGTAACAAAGTGATAATCGCCACCCATGTATTTTATACACGATTGAATCTACTTGAGCAGAATATTTTGTATCATTTGTATATTTTTGGTAAATAAATGTATATTCTTTCTTCTTTCCTTCGTTCTATTATACGGTTCGGCAGTTCGCATATTCTCACGTACGTGTACCCAGCCAATATGTTGAGCAGTGTCGACTTGCCGGCGCCTGATGGACCGAGGATGCACGTCAGCTCCCCAGAGCGGAACTCGCCCGACACGTTGCGCAGTATCTGGCGCTCGTCTGCAACAACGAATGGTAATAATTTTGACAATATAGAGAATATTTCGTTGTTCCTTCTAAGCTACGGTCCCAATACGTTTTATAGCATTACTTTATAATGAAGTGAAGTACGTTTTGAATTTGTTACAACCATAAACTCACAGATCCGTGTGAAGTAAAGTAGAAGAAGAATCACCATTACTTCACGCACCGGTCCACTGTTTGAAAAGTTATCCTAGTTTTTTTTTTTTTCAATGCATTAACAATCCCTTATATGTTGCAAATGTCCATATGTCATGGTAATAATCACTTATCATCAGATAAATTGCCTGCTCGTTTGACAACTTTTGACTTAAAAAAGCTTATATGCACACTCCACATATTTTAAAACGAAATTAAAAATGTAGTTCTTTGATGAAAGACAATTTATTTTCATTACTGTGAGCTTAATATAAGATTTTATGTTAAAATTATATCATTCCTTACTGTCTATGGGTTATGTAGATTATTATCTACACGTACATTAAAATATAACAGGCTCTCGACTCGCTTAACATATAAAAAAATAACGAGACTACGCCAGTACGTAAAACGTGAAAAATTACGGGTGAGATCTAAGATAAAAATATAAGTTAATTTTAAAGGTTTAAAAGAACAGTTGCTTGTGACGTGCGGTGAGTTTAGTTGACTCACACGTTTCCGCGTTAAAAACTAATTCGTTTATAGTATTTTTTTTTTACAAAAAGCCCGAACATAATATTTTCTTGCGGCATTCAATTGTTTAAAGTAAGCGTCTGTTAAATACTGTCAATAAAAGACAGGTAATATGAAAACTTTATTAGCACTGAAGTTAACTCTTAAATAAATGGACAACAGATAAATAGAGATAGATGAATCAGATAGAAAGAGAATGAATAAATTGTTATAAATCGAATAACATTTTAAATTATATCAAGATAAGGTATCCATATAATAATAATAGTGAACCAAAAGTAATACGAAGGTACCATCAACCATATGTTTTGAATGTGATTTCTCCTAAGGATTGTCGCAATAGAAAACTTAGAAACCGAATAATCTTAGCAGTATGTTTATTAAGAAAAAAATTATACTTCTTATAGAAAAAGCGAAGGATCGGGCTAACAATCTTGCTGGACCTTCTTAGACATCAGGCCTTAACGTTATAATGGGGTTTAATCCAGCAGGGAACTGTATTGGTCGTGACATAATATAACGAAAACCAAAACAGACTTCAAATATCTTGCTCAAATGAATACATTTTATAATTGACATTCAGCAGTTCCTTGAGTATCTCCGGAACCCTGGATTCACCAATACCAATGAATAATTAATTTAATATGACACCACATGGGAACCACCAGCTTTCAAATTAATAAAGAATCATCAAAATCGATTCACCCAGTCGAAAGTTATAAGGTCACAAACATAAAAAAACCTCCTACCCTTTGAAGTCGTTTGGAAACTCATTATTATTAAAAATGATAAAACAATTTCAATCAAAAATTTTATTGGTACCGGGATTAACAAAGCTTGCTTGAATATATTGAATTGAAAGAAAGCATTTAATTTTACCTTAACTTTATTTTCTTTTCTTTTTCATAAAAGTTCAAGAGAAAGTTGAATCTATCAATGTAAAAAGGCTCGATAGAGAACTTACAGAAATACAAAACAGCAAACATCGCGCACAAATTAGAGTGCGTTACACATCGTTTCAGATGGTTGAACATTGGGTCGAGAAGGTTCTTTAAGGGCGACACCCGAAAGATGCATCTAAAATGATCCTACTTATCCGTCTAAGAGCCCTTTTTATCTCAGTTCGAGTATGTCACGCAACTGTAAGTTTTTTGTATCCGATCTGAAAATTTTCTTAGGTGAAAATCGACGGTCCGTTATTCAACACCAAAATATGGATATATATATTCCATATATTGCATATTAATATGATATATGCTGTTTAAAATTAATAATTTTTTTAGTGAGAGTTTAGTAGTGGCTCGGGTCAGTGAGTAAAGCGATAAAGGCCTTTTTCTGCAAAATAATCAATTCGAAGAATTTACATGGTTATAAAACTTGGTTAGTCATAATTTTTGATTTACTAATTCAAAGACTAGGAATTCTCTCTGGAATTGGATAATAGGAAGAAAATTTAATTTAAACGGTTTATAAAGTTTCATACGTTCAAATAAATACACAGGTGAGCCTAATAAGAGGGTCAAAATGTATTTTATATCTATAAATATTAAATTCTTTATTCTTTTTTTTCTTTAAGCTCTTATTGAACGTCAAAAAACTACCACCGGTTCACTAAACTAGACCTGTCCAGAGAAGATCCGGCAAGAAAATCTGTTGTCTTACGTTTTTTTTATATCATAAGTTCATACTTAAATATGCTTAATATTTGAAATCAGCAGCAGCCAGGGGACTTGCAAGTTCAGAGCAAATCATTTCCACACATCCATTTCCTCAATGTCGACTCGACATTTTAATAGGCCCTTTATATTAAGGCAGATTTTACACACTTAGATTTTTGTGGATGTCACCTATTATATTATATAAGGTAATACATCTAAAATCGTTGCTGGGATTTTCCTGTTTTAGCAAGTCTCGGTATTTCTAGCTTGTCACCACGGCCCCGACGCGATGTTATTATTTCGGACATACATGATGTTCTCGCGTATTGTATAGCGGAGTGGGCGTTAAAACGTTAATTTGCTTAAAAATAAACATAAACAGTGGGTCACGTGGACTGAAGCCATAGCCATACGGCATTTCTATGACTTGGGTCCATCTCTTGATTTTTTATTACAATTATCGAGTCTAAACCGAATGCGGAACCCCAAAGTAAAGCACCATATGATATAATGCTATAAAAATTGTATGATAAAAATACATCAGAAGTTTTATTATTACATTTTGATATAATAAAAAACATTTAAGATAATTGCGTAAATCTATCGAGTTCAGGTATAGTAACAGGAAAGTAAATTGACAAAGGGTTGCATTTGGAATATAATTGTTTATTTTGCTTGTGATGATCAGTGTTTGCAAAGAGTTCAAAGTAAACAATAACACTTTCTCAAGCAAGATTAGGTTAACACCATCATTACTTTAGCAAATAATGATGGTGTTAACGTAAGCTTAATAAAAAAGTTAAGTATCAGCCTATACACACATACAGAGGCTATCAGAGCATATCCTCCACGCGGCCCCACCGCGGATTGGCGGATTTCACATATCTTCGAAATATTTTCTTTATTATTATTTCCAAAATGTGCAGGTTTCCTCACGATGTTTTCCTTCACTGCCGAGCACGTGATAATTCAGCACTTAAAATTAACAATTTCATTCGTGCCGGCACCGAGGATCGAACTCAGGTTGTTCGAGTATATTGAATTTAAGGCAAGCACCCGGATACTGAGCTATCACGGCTCTCCATAAAAAAGTGTCAAATTAAGATATTTTATCAAAATACACACTAACACGTACGTCTCCAAAATAAATAAGAAAAAAAGCCTTGATTATGATAATAAATCACAGAAAGCGCTGATTATAAGATAAGAAACAGTTAATTCACAAGGTACAATTAGTCGTTTGGAATACAATTATAAGCCAAGCTATCGAAGACTGCCCAATCTCATTAAAATGAAATCCGAGGCGACTGTTTTTATATCATCTATTAAACACAATCGAAGCCTTAAAGATTATCCAGACCATTACTACGTATATTCATTATGAATTTGATCGTAATACATCGATCGTAGTTGTAGATCTCAAAGAGAAGACAAAAGTGACTTAAGTTATTGACGTTTAATCATCTTACGTAGTACCAAAAATGACCGATGGTGGACCTTGAGACAGTACATTGGTCGTAAAAAGTAGTACATTGGTTACTAAAAAAGAAATAGATTTGTTTGAAATCACATGTGTCTTTATGATTTGTGTGTGTTATATTAGAAAACGGTTTTTACGGTGGTAGGGCCACGCAGCAGCCTCGGCTGTTGCACGAATGGGCAGGCTCGTCCAGGTAAGTACCACAACCTCACAGAAGACCGGCGTAAAGTGGAAGTATAATACTTTCGCGTTTCGTCTGGTGAGTGAGGTAGCCGGAGCCCAATTTCCAAAAAAGTTGTCAACGCATCTGCATACCCTCGGCTGTAGCAGATGTCCATGGGTGGCGGTATTCACTTAACATCAGGTTAACCATCTGCTCGTTTAGCAACTTTTCACATAAAAGAAATACTATTTCAATGGTGTAGTTGTTTCAGTATTACTTTTAAAAACATCTTAACTACTGGTCTTTTTTTCTTTTCAGTTTTGATTTATTTCTGGTACGTTTTTTTTACTTTTTTCAGACAGTCCGAACTCTTTTTAATTTTACACTTTTTAGTAAAGATTTCTAATTGGCTTCGGTGTCGGGAGTCGTAGGTTCGATTCACACGGGATAATTATTTGTGTGAACCTTAGATCACAGAATGGAGTTAATTGGAGGAGGATTGGTATTACTTCTCAGCTCCGCGTACATGAAAATGGGAGGAGAAACTCGTATGCAGCCAAAGTACAAAAAAAATGTTTGAATTTGATAACCTTCAACGTGCATAAAAATACATATTTGTCATTAATTAACATTTCATCTAAAGTTATTACAAAATCGTATCTTGATTTATTGTTTTTTATAATATATTTATATATCCACAAGACCAAACAATAGTATGCCGAAATGTTTTTCCGTTTTAAATAAATCACAAAGATCCACATAAGTACAAGCAGTACAAACTTCCGGAGAGTTGCTCTTAGTTTTTTGACACACTTTTCAATAATATATTTTTGATGATTGGACAACTTATGAAATAATTAACAGACGTCAATTGGAATGCAGTATTATGTCCATAATTGTTATCTTTCACAAATTGTTTCCTATATTACTGAACGCGGCCACAATCAGCACTTGTTCTTAATAGTCGTTTAATGATTTTCCTGTTAGATGTACTTTTTCTACCTTAATCTATAATTGTTATGATTTTAACTCACTTAATTGTGACACATAAAGTATCAGCCTATACATGTCCCACAGCTGGGCAAATGGTATGTACAGAGGGTATCAGGCATAGTCCACCACGCGGCCCCACCGCGGATTGGCGGACTTCACATATCTTCGAAATATTTTTTTTGTTATTATTTCGAAAATATGCAGGTTTCCTCACGATTTTTTCCTTCACCGCTAAGCACGATAATTAAGAACTCAGGTTGCTTGAGTATATTAAATTAAAGGCGAGCAGACACTAAACTATCACGGCTTATTTGTGACAGTAAAACGTATAATTATAACGTAACATTAAAAATATACAAAAGTGAAGCCTATTACTACGACTACGCTGTCTGTCTGTCTGTATGTCCGTCTGTCTTACTGTTAGCAGGCTGTATTTCATGAACCGTGATAGTTAGACAGTTGTTATTTTCACAGATGGTGTATTTTTGTTGCCGCTATCACATAAAATGCTAAAAAACAGAATAAAAAACTGTTTAAATGGGGACCCCATGAAACAGGCCTAATTTTTGGATGTTTTTACAAATAACGGTACGAAACTCTTCGTGCCCGATTCCAACTCGCACTTGGCCGGTTTTTTTTAATTTACGCAAAAAGTTTCGATCACTTATGGTGGGTAAGTGACAACTTAGTGAAGTTATCACTTACCTACCATAAGTGATGGCCTAGTGAACAAGTAGAACTTGTGATTTTTATGTGTGCCATAGTTTAATGTCTCGTTTATTATTTACTTTTACTACTACTTAAATCGATTGGAAATCATAGTGACTGTTGCTCTGTTTTATTGGATTTATAGAACAAATACGTTATGACTAATTACTACTAGATATTTTTTTTATATTTATAATTACGAATAGCATTCGACTACTTTCAATTGTATAGTGGTAATAGTCAAATCGAAATATGTTACGAACTTACAACAATATGATTAGTTTTATAAACCAAATACTTTCGTGTATACAATAAACCAATAAAAAAGTTAACCATTTCTTAAAGTTAGGGGGAAATAAGTTTTCTCAGACATTTGAGGGCTCCCAGTTGAGACATATGATCGAGTTTGAAGTTTCCATTTGTTATTTATAAGTAAAATAATAAATATATTTGTTTTTATTTGTTATATGTAATACATGTAGCCTTAATCTATATTTCCATAAAATGGAATGTAAACATTTGTGTATTCGCAGTTGGTTTTAAAAAATAATCATTTCAATGGAGGCAGACACAGAGTTAAGTTTCATAGAAACTAGCTGCTAAAAAAATAAATTTATGAATGTCTTTTTTATAATATTCCTTATCTTAGAGCTTAGTCAAATTTTGTATATTTTGTAATAATAAAAAAAATTATTTAATTCAATATTATCTTATGTTCAAGCAAAAACATTCACTTTTATTCTGCTTTTGTGAAGAATAAATCCGAGCCCCAGATTTTTTACGAGAACATATTGACCGCAAGCTTCGGCATGAGTGGATATTTTTTTGCTCATGAGTGTATTTTAATTTAAAGTATGGTATTGGAAAAACTAATAAATTATTATCAATATATATAAAATTGTTAGAGAGGGCGTAAGTTATTAATTTATTGATCCTGTTATTCCATTAGTTTTTTAAATTATGAGTAAATTTTGCATAGTTATGACTTAAAATAGTTAATTAGATTAAAATGGGATGGGATATGTATTACTTCTCTAATTCAAAAAATGATCTGTGTTTTATGGCATACACAATGGTACATGTTTTGTTTAATTACAAAATTGATTTTTTTATAGTAATGGATGACGCCTATACGATACTCATTTTTATTGAAACGTTTGCATAAATAAATCTTAATTTCGTCTTTATAAGGAGTGTTAATAGTAGTATCAACATCACTACATAGCATAAAACAAAGTCGTCCCGCTGTCTGTCTGTCCCTATGTATGCTTAGGTCTTTAAAACTACTCAACGGATCTTGATGCGGTTTTTTTAACCGACTTCAAAAGGAGGAGATTACCAATTCGATCGGTATATACTTTTTTACTAGATAGAGTGATTTCTGAAGAAGGTATATATACATTGTATATACCTTCTACCATATGTATAATACATTGCAATTATAAATAAAACGATTTTACACATTTTAGTCTATCCTGTGACCAGAGATTCGGTAAAATTTTCGAAACGTCGAGAATTTTGAATGATTTTGATTATGAAAAAATTGAGTGTGATGACATCCGTGAAACAGTTTGAATTACAAGAAACAGAATCGAGCTATGATGTCAGGTCAATCACAGGCGTCCATCAGATAGACTTGTAGTTGTACATGGACTTGCAACCTTAAGTTCAGGGGTTCCCATCCAATTGTACACTATGAATGGTCAGTTTTACCCGCAACCCTGTGAATGGCTCAGAAAGGAGTTCAAGGCTTAGAAGTTAACAAGTTAGGAGATTTAGGTTATCGTGTCGCAATTAGTAGTAGTTTATTTGGCTGGATTTTAGTTTATGTTACCATAAACCTTTTTCATCGCATTTAATAATTAAAACTGTTAACGGACATTACAAATTAGCCGTTTTAACGTTAAACGAAGATTAGGATAAACAATAAACAAGTATCACAGGGTCAGCAAACCCACAAACCTGCTCGGGTTCTTAAAATCAACGCAAACTGGATTCACTTTTGATAATTTTTTCTTTTATTTTAATTATTTCTTATTAAAAGGAATAGCAAAAACTGTTAACCCGACGGTTAGTGAGACTGCCGACCAATGACACTCGCAAAACTAAAGATGTTGAATAATCTATTTATAAACTTCATCGATGAACAAACTATCGTTTAAATTATAGGCTTGGTTCTTTAGCATAAACAAAGAACGAACTTTCCATCATATTGACGTCACTTAAGGAAGATACGGAAAAGAAATTTCTTTTGTCTCGCCTGCCGGTAGTTCACTACCTGTTCGACAAGTTATTAATATGTTTCCATAATTCCTATCGAAAAGGTCGAATTTATTATCGAACTATTTCCTATCTCCGTGTATGATGGAAACTCCATGTTTTTAAATCTATATGGGCCTTTAAAATCACAATTAACATTTTTATTGTTGCCGGCACCGGGATATGAACTCGGGTAGCTCGAATGTACTAAAGTAAAAGGGCCCGACTGGGCACTGAGCTATTATGGCTCTTAAAAATAAATAAAATGTTTATCTGGTAATGATAAAAAAGAAAAAATTCTAAGCCTCTTGTTGTTCCGAAAAAGTTTTACTTAAGGAATGGCTTTAAACTGTTTTGTTTTTTGCGATTTGCTTATTATATTTTTTCCGCCATTTTTATTGGTATTAATCATAGTAATTAAAAGTACTCGGTTTGGTTGTTGATGGTCGTTATTTGCGAAATTTAATCAATTTACTTAATTCAGTTCATTTCAAAACTAAGCCCTATGAATCCCAACGAACATTTTCAAGGTTTTATAAAAAAGTTTTGTAGATTTTGGCTGTTTCGTTAAGCTTTCTATACTTGTGAAAAGTTTCAATAGTTTTGTTGTTCAGAAAATCGCTTCGTTCAAAACATTGCAGTATTACGAAGTTGTATGAAGTAATAAACAAGTTTAATCTCTAGCATGGTTTCCGTTTTATTACACAAACTGTCACTAAGTCGTTCAAGGTCAAGTTCATTTTAAAACAGCATGGTCGCTTATAAGAGACCTATATAGCGTGTTTCTGAAGTATCGCTGACAGGTTATTGACCTCGCGTTCCTCGTTTACGGGTATTTTGATAAGTAGTATTTACTTTTTTCGCAGAAGGAGTGATTGTTTACTTTTAACATATAACAGTTATACCTATAACAGTTGTTAATCTTAAAACAAAAATAATGTTATTGTATGAAGTCAATTAAATGGTGAATCTCGGTTTTTGTTATTTCATTTTCGCTTAGTACTCGTAATTCTTTCAATACGTTTCTATATCGCTTACAAGTATTTGTAAGTGAACTACGAACGTTAATCTAGAAGTTATTAGAACACTTTTAGTGAAAATTTAAGCTGTATTTAAATACACTTCTACAGTATTCAAATTTATTCGTTCCGACTTTTAATTATTTTTTGAGATTTTAACCTTGTTGTTATTTCTTAGTACTTACATTTTTTTTACATCATGCGTATTTGAGAAAATATTGTGTAAACAAACATTTTTTAAATTAACATAAAAAAGTCTAAGGAACCTTCAACTATCGTCATAGTGAGTTTTTGTAATGAAATACGAATACGAATAAAAAAACGCATAAATTCCGCATTCTAAATTCCTTTCATTACATATTTGTCAACAATACAAAATAATAACTGGCCATTATAATCAAAGCTAAATTCCACTGATATTTAATAAGGATATTTAATACGCATATGCCACTACAGATTGGGCTTAATGCTTTAATTTGTGAACACAAATGGAAAAATCAAATGATAATATTAAGTACACTTTTTATAATATCAATTATTAAAAGTGTAATTAATAAAATCTTTAATCTCACAGAAGATCTGCGTGAATTGGAAGTATTATACTTCTGCGTTTCGTCTGATGAGTGAGGTAGACAGGGCTCACTTTATTAAACGGTAGCAACGAATCTGCAACCCTACGGCTGTTGCAAATACGAGTATCAATTGGCCCATGCCACGCATCACTTAACAGCAAATGAACCGTCAGCTCGTTTGGCACATTTTCACACAAAAATGTTTTAGTTTTATTATAGAATTATTTTGTTTTATGCTATATGTTCTTTTTACCTTTATGCGTGGATACAGTGAATCCGATGTCCTCAAACAGTATATGGATGGGCGGGCGTTTCGCCATGCGATTTAGAGCTTTCAGGGTCGAGCCAGCCCTCTCTAACGCCGCTGGAGTCCACTGGTTCTCGTTTGGAGTTAGCTCCAACGGATTTGGATCAGTCGACGGCGTTGCATGGGCCAATGATGCACCCACGATCGCTTTCCTTACCAGTGGTACATTCGACATTTTCCCGCTAAAGCGAACAATTCACAAAATAAACACACGGCTACTGACTGATCTTTATAATAGCACTTCTATTAAAATCGCATTAATAATTCACTTTTAGATGGCGTTAAATGTACGACCTATAAACCTAATTTAAATTTTGAATTTCGAATGCCATAACATCGACATAACCTTAATCGAGCTATTTGCAACGTTACGCCGCGCATTCGAACTTGTTGTGTCAAATTTCAAAACGAAGGCTACGAAAATGATTTATAAAGACGAACTCCTTGTTTTTACACGTCTATCACGCCATAAAATATATTTTTTGAATCGAATTCCGTGTGGACTGACGCGTGCGTTCCTGCGCGGGAGACGCGACAGGCGACACGCTCGTCGTATTGAATACTCGTGAGTACACTAAGACAACGGCATTCAGGTAGTATCGCACCCAATCATATAGTTTTTCATATGTCGGTAGCAGACAAAATAATGTCAGTTTCATTATTGTTCTCAAAGGGTAATTAATGATTATCAATTACTGTCATCAATATTACATACGTTATAAAAAGTCAATTTTTGTTGATGCGTAAAGCAAATTATCTGTTTTATAAGGAAAAAAATAAACCAGGGAGTCTAACCCTTTCGAATTTATAATATTATTCCTTAGACAAAATGTACAGCTTGTAAGTACGTAAAAAAATATTTTTGCATGATGGTCTCACTGTTTTGGGATATTATATATGAAATATAGTAAACATATAATTGAAGTACAAAAAAAATTTAGATAATAAATATGAATAGCAATAACATTTCCACATTGGGTGCCTCTTTGCGTACATTCAGTGAGGTTCAAATATGTAATGGGAGGTTTATAAACGTTGCGGAATTTAGATTTTGACAAGGCTAGTAGACGACTGGATGGCCTTCTAAAGATAGTTAGCCATCTAAGTAGTCTTAATGAAGGTTTTTGTCCTCAAGTTTTGAGATACTACGGCTAAAGGGACTTATCCCGAACAATTTGCTTAGCAATTCATTCCTGGCCATGGATTTATAAACTCCAACTGGATATCAAAAAATAATTTAGCTACTAATAAACTACAATTTATTGGATACTAGCTCTTCGCCCGCGGCTTCACTCACGTTGAAGCCCTTAAATAACTATCTTGCAAGCCTTCACAACATTTTTTTCCAATTAAAAAATAGCCTATGACCTTTCTCAGTCTCTAGACTGTATCTGTGTTTTTACCCAATTTCATTTAAATCAATTCATTAGTTTTGGAGTGATGGCGAGACAGACAGACAGACAGTTACTTTCGCATTTATGACCTTAGTATGGAAGTATGGATTATGGTGTTCAGTTTCAAATTAGAAAGCGGTAACTACTTAAAATTAAATAAAGAACAAATTTATAGATCCAGTTGTATAAATTATAAGATAGGCTTAGTTGTGAATATAAAGTTAATGACGAAAAAATTGTTTTTCAATTCGGTAATAATTGTATAAGTGATTAATGCTTTCATAACTCATTCTCCACTAGCACCACGCTATCTATCTATTATGTGGAATGCGGATATTACAAATAATGTTATTAAATTACAGATGCTCTTTTCTGTAGGGTTTTTAACAAAAGTATTTTGAGTATATTTGTCAGGAAACATAAAAGTAAAGTAAACCTGCATATTTTCGAAATAATAACATAAAAAAATGTTTCGAAATTGTGTGAAGTCCGCCTACCGCAGTGGAGTCGCGTTGTTGACTATGCTCTGATAGCCTTTATACAGAGGAGGCCTTTGCCCAGCAGTCGGACATTTATAAGCTGTTACTCTACCTTTACTTTACTATGTCACATTCTCATGTATATCTATAAGTAATGTTGATAGATGTTCTAATATATCTAAATCTTATTATTATCTAGTGCGTGAATAAAATTAAAACCCAAACAAATACGTGTCGTTATTCTGTTAATTTCACAAAATGAAAATCATAGGTAAATTAATAAATTAAAAGGCTTTGTTCGCATGTTTTAGAACCATTTTACCGTAATGACACCGCTCAAACATTGAAAGTAGTGGCCGAATTTAGATTTATCGCAGCGAATTTTTAACAAAAATATTTATTATCTCAATAACACGAAATGTGCCCATTTGTTTGCTGAGGAAACAAAGAACTTAAAAGATATCACAAGTAGCTTGAGAGATGGGTGATACACAATGGTGAATAATACAAGAAATTGCGTGCAATGACCCAACTTACGAGTTTTTCAAATAAATTTGTCGCAAATAAAACAAAATATATCGCAAAAAAGCGAATTTTTATGGAATAATGAAATGAAAAGAGATGAATTGCGAATTAAATAAAAATTTTTTTCAGCTTCTAGTTTGAACTTAAAGGCAAATGTTACAAATGCAAAAATGAAAAATAACTAAAAATAGGTCGATGTAATTTGAAAAGATAGTCATAGATTGGGTTCAATATTTTTGCCTATTTTAAGGGTATATACATATAAGGAAATATCAAGCTAAGTTTAAATTGTATCGATGCCTTTAAACGAGCAACTCTTATATACGATCGAAATCTCGGAAACGGCTCCAGCGATTTTCATGACATTTATTTTAACGGTTGTACGGCCACGCAGCAGCCTCGGCTGTTGCACGAATGGGCAGGCTCGTCCGGGTAAGTACCACGACCTCGCAGAAGACCGGCGTAAAGTGGAAGTATAATACTTTCGCGTTTCGTCTGGTGAGAGAGGTAACCGGAGTGCAATTTTCAAAAGGTTGTCAACACATCTGCAAACCCTTGGGTATAGCAGATGTCCATGGGCGGTGGTATTTACTTAACATCAGGTGAACTTGGAAACTTTTCACAGAAAAAAAAATTAGAATGAACGTAGATTCGGGAGCGAAAAATCGATCTGGCTAGGTTTCATTTTTAGAAAATGTCGTTTTATCCCTGTTTTCAGGGAATGAAAAATATCCAAAACATAAGGCCGCGGTTCCTTTCACGATCATTCACACACTTATTTTTTAAAAAAAATACTGAGCAAACCTCGGTCATCCAGCTACTTGATAGTTTAAATGGCATAGTTTGGGTGTGAAAATGCATACATTTTATGTTTAAGTACTTCGATTTTTTGTTCTACCGTAGTTTTTACATCCCAGTTCCCGAAATGATGTTAAGTCATATTACACAAATTCATGGTTGGAAAAGTAATAATAATATGGACTTTGGGATGTTTGTAATGGCAACAATTGATAATAAATTACGAAAAGTAACATTTATCAGGTTTACAACAAATGATGTTGGCGGATTAGTTATCTCGTGATGCAAGGTCAATGAACATACATTTTTAGCTGATTGATTTTTTTAATGAATTATGAATAATTTTCTTTGTTCATGAATGCGGGCAATGAAGATAATAAGTTAAAATAACAAAAAAAGGAGAATTAATAAGTTTGCGATATATTTGTGAAATGATGATTAATATCTACATTTATGCAAATTATAGGATTTATTAGTTTGAAGTTAACGAAATATCTTCATAATTTATACAATTTTGTCTACGAGGATATAATCAATTAAAAAAATATATGTTTTTTATGACGAATGCTATGAAATAATGATAAATACTTTATGAACCATTTTTACACAACATTCTCTAGTCCCAAACTAAGCAAAGCTTGTACTATGGGTATAAGATAACTGATAAACATACTTAAACATTACTTTTCTTATATAAACAAATACATGTTATAGATATCTAACACCCAGACACTAGATAAACACTATGTTCATTACGCAATATCATCACACCCTCTGGCGCAGGAGGCAGGTACACTACCCACTACGCCATTCGGGTCGTCATTATTTATATTTAATATATATATAAAATATGTGTATTGAATAGGTATAATTTTTATTTCACATTCTTCTTAATAAGAATTATAAGCCGATATATTCCCGAAGTAAATAAACCGTTCGTAATTTTGCAAAGCGAGCTAATTTTTATTTGCTAATGAAGTATAAATAATGTTTATGTATATTCTAGAATATCATGAAAGTCAGTCAGTATTCAAAAAGTATACCTTAGTACTGACCATATGCGGGCGGGAACCGTATGCATTTTAATGAGAAATTAATAATATTTAATTTTTTTTTTTTTGGGCTGGATGAGCCACTGTTGGCCTTAGGGGCCTTTACAGATCCGACGGACTTGAGGTGGCCTGGCGCACGGGGCGCCTAGCCTGAACCTCTGCGTACTATTATTACGCGTTATGGTGACTAAGCTCGAGGGCTCCCGGGGGAGCCTCAGCTCGGGCCGTCACGCTATTATTATCACCGGTTTGGGAGGCCGCCAAGCTCTTAGGGCGCTTTGGCAGGCGCTCCATGGAGTGATCAGGCTCAAGGGTCCCCGAGAGGGGACCTCGGCTTGGGCTGTCACTCAGCACGCGTTTAGCATTCCGATTCGAGGGTGCCCGAGAGGGCCGGACCTCGGCTCGATCGGTAGCTATTATCTGACTGGGGGAATTACTAGACCTAACATTACTACCACTTCGGAGAGCGTTGGCGCTGGGAGAAGAAGTGGCGGAAGAAACTCCAGCAACGCTTCTATCATTAATAGGGGAAAACCTGCCAGGTACGTGGCGGAACCTAGTATATGTTTGCCGCACTCGCCGGCGAGTGCGGTGTGTGTTGGTGTGGTGTCTTGAGTTTTTTGATCCTTTCGATGGCGATAGTCGTCTCATCGTCAGGGAAGTCGAGAACGTGACGCGGTCTTCGGTAATCGCGGCGGAAAATATTTAGCGGCAAGGGCCTGTAGGTGACGGCACCTACGATAAGTGGGTTGGGATGCGCGGCGGCGGAATCGAAATATCGGCGCGACGCCGACTTCAGGAATTGCGCGATGGTGGGCAATTCTAGATCGACATGTAGGTCGATATTGCGCATGAACCAGGGTGCTCCCGTGGCTCTGCGCAAGAATCGATTTTGAATCACCTGAAGCCGGTGTATTTGCTTCGGAG